TCTCCATCCGCATTTTCAAACCACTAAACCGGGGGTTTAGACAATGGGTGCAGTGACAGCCTGAAGCTTATTAAGCTAATCATAGAGAAGTGATATATTGCTTGCTTAACTTTACTTCTTGGATTATTGCTTCTTCCCAGCATTTGACCAATCTGGGTCCCTCCATGCGAATGCGCTGCTGTGCCAGGCTTTACAGAGGGATAAAGCATGTTAGTGAATGGAGAAAAGCAGAGAGCAGAAGGCTAAATTAAACCTTTATGATTAGCTTCATAAGCTTCAGGCTGTCACGGCATTCTTTGTCGAAGCGCAGGGGCCATTTTCAACCAGACTAATCAGGATATCTACAAGAGGGCAGAATTCCAAAACAACAGGAGACAATTAGTAGATGTGTGTCCGTCTTCTCTGCTACTGAGTCTTGTTGACATTCATTCCAGATGGAACCGATGACTTAATTACTGAAAACATTCTCTTTTTAATTTTAAACGAGCTGGCTTAACTCCAGCAAAACAGGGTGTTTGTGAATATCTACTGGAGAGAGAGAGAGGGGGGGGGGCTGGAGACACAAAGCACCAGACAAAAAACAATGGATGAAAACTAACCAAGGAGAGAAGCAATCTGGAATTAAGGAGAAACTTGCTAACTGTGAACAATTAACCCCTGGAACTGCTTGCCATCAGAAGTTGTGGGTGCTTCATCGCTGGAGGTTTTTAAGAGGAGTTTGGGCAGTCACTTGTCTGAAATGGTATAGGATCTCCTGCTTGAGCAGGGGTTGGACTAGATGATCTCGACGGTCCCTTCCAGCTCTATTCTGATTCTGGACCATGGGAAGAAGACCTTAGTTTGATAGCCACTTAAATACCACCAAATAGCTTAAAGCCTGTCAAACCTCAATTACCAGGATCTCAAGATCTTGGGGGGGGGGGAGGGAATCTTTTCAGCATAAAACCTATACAGAGAACAACTTTAAGGACCTAGTGGCTTAAGTCCCAAATCTTCTAAATTAAGGATTTTGATCTTCACAGTAATCAACCAAATGTTTCTGGCAGTGCTAATAATACTTTCCTACTTATCTCTCCCATTACTGTTCTAGAGCAATGTACTCTACTCTATAGTCTTCTCAATGACAGCTAGCTCTATGGTTAGTTATCATGATCAGTAGCCACGGATAGCCTCCTTTTCCAAAAGAGACTTAATGCATACTTGGGTCTGGTGGTCTTCCTTGCTCACAGGTTCTGGCAAGCCCAGAGTCTCAGCTGTTCTGCCCTCTCCCTCAACAGTTCTCAACTAGATGATTTATATGTTATTTTGGACTAAGATGAAGCTGGACAGCTTCCTAGACCATCTCATCACTGGAACTGGATAGGGAGGAAAACTCTGTTTCTTCCCTGTGGCTTTAAACCTACGGCTAAGTTTAACTCCAGATGAATTTTATAACCAATGGCTCCGAAGACAGTTTGCCCTGCAAATAAGAACTACTCCGATTTTTAGCTCTCTCCGGAGGCCATTACAACTCCCTGGGTCGTGAGAACCTTTAATAGCAATTCCAGCATCTACGTTGCCTGGTTTTCAAGATTTGGTTTTTCTTTCCATCTTCCAGATCAGACATGTCAAACACAAGGCCCGGGGGCCGGATACGGCCCGCGAAGCGGTTTCATGTGGCCCGCGAAGCCATCCTGGAAACAGTGAGGGAACGGCCCCCGCTGCCTTGGCCCTGGCCCAGGCCAGCCGGGAGCCAATCTACAATTTTGTGGTGGCCATCTTGGCACTTGCCCCGGTGGACCATGCCTTGGCACTTGCCCCGGTCCCACCCCCTTCTGCCAGAGTCCCTCAGATCTGTCCCACTCCTGCCCAGGCCCCCACAGGCACCCTTGATCCAAATGATGTAGAGCTGGCCATGCCCACCCAGTAGACCACACCCACTCCATCCACGCCCACCCAGTAGGCCACACCCATTCTGGCCACACACACCCGCCACCCCTGAGGGCAACCGCAATGCTGATGCGGCCCTCAGTGGAATTGAGTTTGACACCCCTGTTCCAGATGATCTCAATAACATTCCCTTAGAAAATGTCCACCTCCAGATCTTTCTATCCCCGGACTGTTTTTCTCCATGTATCAATAACTGAGAACAGATTTGCAATAAATCCATTCGGAATAAGTAAGAGGAGATTTTTAAACCACTCCCACCATCCAAAATGTTCACAGAACTTCCAACTTCGTTGGGACTCTATCCTTTCAGAGGCACACGGGAAGATCTGCTTGTTTTCACAAACAGTTGATCTCAGAATATTCACGAATAAAGCTTCATTTTTGTTCTAAGTGAACAACGCGTGTCCGCTGTCAACTTTCCAATTAATAGAAAGTTTTCTTCCACTCTCCCACACATTACTTTCAAAACCTAATATATATATATATTCTCCTGCCTTCTGAGATGTTACGTCTTCCATCCCAAAAAGTCCATCGGGTTGAACATGTTCTCTTCCAAAAAGGACATCGTCTCTCCCCCCCAAACCAGTCATGAGGCCCAGCGCTGGACTAATCAAGAAAAGAAGGATTTTTATTTGAAATAAACACAACTAAGTACCTGAAAGAATAATTTAGCAACCACCGACGGCACAAGGCCGAATAATCTGTAATCGGTTGGAGCAAACCAGGAAGGCAGAGAGAAGACTGAAGCAGGTCACTCCAACTCAAGCAGGCAATGTTGGACAGAAGTGAAGTTATTCTCCAGGGCTTTCTAAGCCTGATCTCACATTAGCCTTGCCTGGCCTCATGAAATCTCCTTTCTTCAAATTCTGACTTCCTGGGGAAGGAAGCAACCCACCACAACTCTTCTTCGAGAATCAAGAAATTACTCGCTTCTCCTGGATCTCACCCTTCGCTCAGCCTGGAGAGGACAGTGCCAGTGCCTGTGCCTGAAGGTAGCCACCAAGAATTAAGAAAGCAACAGGCACCAAGGGGGAGAAGGCTGTTCTATATGCATTTCAGAAGGAAGGAAGGAAGGAAGGAAGGAAGGAAGGAAGGAAAAGAAAGAAACAGAAAAAGAAAAAGAAAAAGAAAAAGAAAGAAAGAAAGAAAGACGGAGGGGAGGGGAGGGGAGGGAAAGGGAGGAGATGGGAGGGGAGGGGAAGGAGGGAAGGGAGGGAGAGGGTAGGAATGAAAAAAGGAAAGAAGGGGAGAAGGAGGAGGAAGGGGAGGAGGGAGAAAGAAAGAAAGAAAGAAAGAAAGAAAGAAAGAAGGAGGAGGGGAGGGAAAGGGAGGAGAGGAGAGGGGAGGGGAGGGAAGGAGGAGAGGAAGGAAAGGAGGAAGGGAGGGAGGGGAGAAATGAAGGAAGGAAAGAGAAGGGGAAGGGAAAGAGGGAGAAAGAAAAAAAAGGAGGGAGGAAGGAAGGGGGAGGAGGGAAAGGGAGGAGGAGATGGGAGGGGAGGGGAAGAAGAGGGAGAGGGTAGGAATGAAGGAAGGAAAGAGAAGGAGAAAGGAGAAAGAGAAAGAAAGAAAGAGAAAGAAAAAAAGAAAGAAAGAAAAAAGAAAGAAAGAAAAAGAAAAAAAGAAAGAAAGAAAGAAAGAAAAGGGGAGGGGAGGGAAAGGGAGGATAGGAGATGGGAGGGGAAGGAGGAGAGGGAAGAAGGAAAGAAGGAAGGAAGGAGGGAAGGGAGGGAGAGAGGAGAAATGAAGGAAGCAAAGAGAAGGGGAAGGGAAGGAGGAAGAAAGAAATAGAAAGAAAGAAAGAAAGAAAGAAAGAAAGAAAGAAAGAAAGAAAGAAAGAAAGAGAAGGAAGGAAGGAAGGAAGGAAGAGTATTTGGCCAACTGCATATCGTATACTTACACAGAATGAACATTAGAACAGATTCAAAAGCCAGAAGCATAAACGGAGGTTTGGCAAAGGCATGTTTACAACTGAGCGGCCTTCAGCGGTTGTTCCTCGCTGACCCCCTTCCACCACCCCCTTTCTATTCCCCCCCCCCTTGCTAGTATTTAAAAACACATTCTGAACAGAAGCCTGTAGCCAGGGCTGAGAATGGCTGGGAGGGGAAGGGTTGAAGCTGACAGCTCGGTTGTAAATATAGAACATAAAGCACGGAGCCGTTCTAAGCCAACGGGCAGACCTCGTACCCAGATCAGCAGTGTCCACACGTCGGAGGGAAGGAAGGCTGGCACGCTGGCATTTGATGGCCACTCAGTTATTCCGGCAGCGCTCCAAAGAGCTTCCCACGCAGAGCGGCAGGCTGCCAACCACGATCATGTGAAGGCAGAGTCCAAAGGGGCGGCCGTCCCTGGCCAGGGTCCTAGGGTGGGGCTGCTGCCTCCCTCACCCGTCCCTCCAAATGTTCCTTTTGGTTTTATGGCTTAGACTTAAGATTTGCGCCCTTTTATCCAATCAATCAGAATAGAGCTGGAAGGGACCTTGGAGGTCTTCTAGTCCAACCCCTTGCTCACGCAGGAGACCCTACATCATTCCAAACAAACGGCTATCCAATCTCTTCTTAAAATCCTCCAGTGTTGAAGCGCCCACAATTTCTGGAGGCAAGTCGTTCCACTGGTTAATTGTCCTCACTGTTAGGAAATTTCTCCTTAATTCCAGGTTTGCTTCTCTGCTTGATTCGTTTCCCTCCATCGTTTCTTGTCGGGTGCTTAGGAAAATAAGTTGACCCCCTCTTCTCTGTCGCAGCCCTTCAAATACTGGAATACAGGAATACTGTCCTACTTTTCTCTAGAGTGGTCATACCCAATCCCTGCAACCATTCTTCATATGTTTTATCCAACAAAGAAATTCTTCTTGGAAACCCACCCCCCATTAACCAAAGTTGATAGGGCATGGTAGGACACAGATCCCCAAAGAGGTTGTGGGACTCCTGGTGCCTTTTTGAGACCCTTGTTGCCTGAATCCAGGTCTTCTCGTGTTTTCCTGAGGTAAATTTGTTGGATTCCATAGCCAGCTGCAAAAACTGATATTTATCTATACTGTTCCAAGTTTCAGTTATGCCCTTCTTGGCTTGAAGGCCACATCTCATGATGGAATTGTCAACAGTGAGGCCTTCGAATTTGATCTATAACACAGTTAAGAGAATTCCTTTGGAAATGCAGTCTGTAATCTTAATTATCGTTCTTTGGGATGATCATCCAGAGCAGGACTTCAGTCAAATAGGTCTAAGAACACACCATGTTGTTTCACAGAGTGCAACTTTGAATTATGGCTTCTGCAGTGTGCAGTGTGCAGGTCAAAAACATGAATCTTGGGCGCCCTGGTTACTACAGTAGTGGCCAAAATTGTGGAAACCTTTTGGGAAAAGTGTACAGTAGAAATGCCACCTTTGGTTAAGTTTCCACCCATTTTTCTTCTAATTTCTTTGTAACTGTAGCCTTGTTCACTTAATACTACTATTTTACATCGCTTTCTGGGCGACCAGTCAACTCTTTGCACCATTACTTTAATTTTATTACGTTTTACAAGCTCACTAAATGAAAGAACACAAAAAAACCCAATCAACTTGACAGCGATCACATAACACACTGACAAATGTCCTCCTCTCAGCTTCAAAACAAGACATCAATCACTGGATCCTACTGTGATCCGATTGGCTCATTTCCAAAACAAGACGACACCTGATTGGCTCTCTAAACATTCATGCTCATTGGCTACCATCAGATGAAGGAAAGCTCTCTGATATCAACCTAAGCAAGTTGTGCTTCCTTTTTCTGGTTATTTGGCTATAACTTTTCATAGAACACAGTACAGATAATTGAACAAACTTTGTTGCATTACATTCTCGATTAAATTATCTTTCCATTGATATATAATTTCATGGTACTACTCCAAAAAAAAGTGGGGTTATTAGCCATCAAACCTCAAAAAATACACTTTTCCCAAAAGGTTTCCACAATTTTGGCCACTACTGTACATAGATATCCCAGGGCAATGCAAACATTTCAGGTGACAGGGTTGAATAGAAAGATGGCAAATTTAGTGTAAATTTTCCTCCAGGTAAATTCAAGACACAACCGTGAAGCTTAGAAGGCATCAGAATGGACCACACACCTTCCACCATCCGGAACCCCATGACGGATGCCTCTCCTTGTTTTGGATAGCCTCCGTCCTGTGATATAACACAAAGTTTTAAGATGTCTTCTTGGTGGGACTGTAGAGGACATTTTCAGGAAGAGAGAAGGCTAGGAAAACTTGTCAAGGAGAAGGAGAGGGAATGCGTTGGGATGTGTTTCTTGGTTTGCCTTGTGTCACGTGAAGGTGTGCAGCCATGAAAGATGTGTGCTCCCTCACCATTTAAGCTCAGGAACCCTCAAACATTTTGCTGATTAGCAGGTCTGGGCCACAGAGCATTACTGATCAAGCGTGTGAAGCTGGAAATGCTTATGAAGAGAAATTAGAAGGTCTTGGCAACCTAGAAGAAGGACACGCGAAGGAGACAACATGCTAATTGGTACATTTATCCATGGTATGAACCAAGGGACACAGAGTCAAGAGCTTGGAGTGATTGCCTGGACTTCAGTAATCAGGAAAGAAAAATACGTTGAGTTATGATATTAGGCATCCAAAGGCTTTCAGGGAGATCCTGACTTTAAGGAAGATGGTCAGTGGTTGCTAGATATGATGGGTTATATGCCGGCTTCAGAATGGGAAGCCTCTAAAAGCTGGTTCTCCGTGAACATCAGTCAGATGTTGTTGTCCTCACGTCCTCTTGTCAACCTCTTTAAGGAATCTGGTTGGCCCCTTTGGGGATGAGGATGTTGGACTAGAAAAACTGATCCTGTTCCAAAGAGGGACTCCTTGCATGTCTTCCTCTTAGGTCAGTGTAATTATTAATCATAACAAATGACAGAGCTGGATTATATGACCAGTGACAGCAGAATATAATCTTCCCCTGGGTGGAGGTTTCAGGAGCAGATGGTGTGGCTATATACAATAGGAGTCAAACCCATGAGGATGGCATGTCTATTATTGGAAAGGCTGACACGTAACTCTTCAGAAATGATTCAGAAGAAACACTTCAGGACTTACGGGAAGCTCTCGGACGTGTTTCAGACTTCTGCCTGAAAAACGGATGCGGCTGCTTTGAAGAGTCCACTTTTAATGCAACTCTTTAAAGCAGCGTCTCCTTCCCCCCCCCCCAGAAGCCTGAAGAAAACTGGGCTGCTTTAATGGACAGATGCTCTTCTCCTGGGATATCCAAAGCTTAGCTCATCGTGAAATTTGCTCTCAGCAACACACGTGTTATTCGAAACAACCCATGCGAGAAAACCAAGCAATCGAGTTGTTAAGAAAACGGGGGTGTTTTCTTTGTGGTCTTATAAATCTAAAATCCTATATCCGTGGTGGTGAACCTATGGCACGCGTGCCACAGCTGGCACACAGAGCCCTCTCTGTGGGCATGCGCACCGTCGCCCCAGTCCTAGGCCTTCAGCTGGGTTTTATAAAACCTTTTTGCTTCAGGCCTCCGCCACTGTGTGCAACAATAACAAAAAAAAGGTTCAATCAATCAATTTCAACTTCTCGCGGGAAAAAAAAAAGATCTCTCAAAGTTGGAACTGATTGATTGAACTTTTTAGTCCCACACATTCTGCCGTTACCACTGCATGGGCCACGCCCACCCAATGGGCCACACCCACCCAATGGGCCACGCCCACCCGGCACCCAATGAGACATAAGTGGGTTTTGGGTTGCAGTTTGGGCACTCGGTCTCTAAAAGGTTCACCATCACTGTCCTATATGGTTTTGTAGTCACACAACATATATTAGAGGGGATTTATAGATTCATGAGGCCTTAATTATTGTTCTGTGCCTACTTGCCCTTGGTCCCCATATTCTATTATGTTTTGTTTAGCGTCATGCCGGCCGCATTTGGGATCTCCTGCTTTTCCCTAGAAGGAAATGGATTGGACTAAAACGGAGCTCTCCACATTTGGCAACTTTTAGTCTTGCAGACTTCAACTCCTCAAATTCCCCAGCTAGCCAGCATGGGGAATTTTGGGAGTTGAAGTCCATAAGTCTTAAAGTTACCACGTTTGGAGACTCCCGGATTAAAACACGATCAGTTTTTTTTTAAAATTCAGTTCCAGCCGCGTGTAAAAACTGGAACTGATGCACACTAATGACCGCGAAAATCCGTGGAAGTGGGAATGTGCAAGAGGCTACTGAGAGCTGATGTCTCCATTTTGGGGTCTTCTCTTCCAGGAAACGCTCGCGGTTCCTGCTCTAGCACCAAAGGCAGGATGCATAATTCAGAGGCACGTTGGGAGGGGGGAGGGTTCTCTGGCAAGACGGTTTGGCAACAATTTTTGTAAAAATGCACCATCGTGTAGTTCTTTTGGTGTACCTGAACGGATACGTCCACACGTTTCTTGTTTTGGGAAAAGGAAGGTATACTTGGTGGCTTTCCTTGAGACCGTCCTCTCTTCCCCTATACTTTGGGCGGTTGGCCTCCCGCGGCAGCTTGGGACTGCCTCCGGGTTCCGACGTAAAAGACTTGATACCGATCCTTCCACATCACAAAACAGGCCGCGAATCCCACGACGGCTGCCAGGAAGTTCAGGAGGAACTGGATCAGCAAGAAGAGGTAGAAGGTATTCGTGAGGAAGCCGCAGTCGCTCTGGTAGGTGACGGTGCGGCTGAGGGGGTCTGCCGCGTCCAGTTTGCAGTGGCAGACCGCATCAGAAATGGGTTCGCAGGTAAAGCGGATGATCTGGGAGTAGCAGTAGGCAGCGAAAGCCATGGCCAAGATGCAGACGTTCAGACTCAGCGCACTCAGGAGGAAATAGGCAACCTGGGAGGGAAGCAGAAGAGCCGTCTGAATATATATTGCAAGGGATATTCTGCAGGGTGATGAAGTTTGCCATTCCGAACTGCCTCCAAGCATATGCAAAGTTTGGATATATATTTGGGCCAGCAAAATGAGAGAAGAAAAGAGAAGAGAAGAGAAGAGAAGAGAAGAGAAGAGAAGAGAGGAGAGGAGAGGAGAGGAGAGGAGAGGAGAGGAGAGGAGAGGAGAAGAGAAGACTGAATCAGAGAGAGGGAGAGGGGAGGGAGAGGACTGGATTAGGGAGAGGGAGAGGAGAGGGGAAGGGAGGAGAGGAGAGGAGGGGAGAGGAGAAGAAAAGAGAAGACTGAATCAGAGAGAGGGAGAGGGGAGGGAGAGGACTGGATTAGGGAGAGGGAGAGGAGAGGGGAAGGGAGGAGAGAGGAGAGGAGGGGAGAGGAGAAGAAAAGAGAAGACTGAATCAGAGAGGGAGAGAGGGGAGGGACTGGATTAGGGAGAGGGAGAGGAGAGGGGAAGGGAGAGGAGAGGAGGGGAGAAGAAAAGAGAAGACTGAATCAGAGAGAGGGAGAGGGGAGGAGAGGGGAGAGGAGAGAGGAGGGGAGAAGAGAAAAGAGAAGACTGAATCAGAGAGGGAGACGGGAGGAGAGGGAGGAGAGGGGAGAGGAGAGGAGAGAAAAGAGGAGAGGAGACTGGATCAGAGAGAGGGAGAGAGGAGGAGAGGAGAGAGGAGGGGAAGAGAAGAGAAGCAATATTCAGTTTCCCCCATTGGGCCACAAAATTCGAAGATTTCATTCAAAGCATTCTAGAGTCTTCATTTCATGATTGCTTTAAAGGTGTTATCAGGAACGTATAAAGAAATTCAAGCTATGATGATGTGAACATCATGTTTAGCATAGGTTCAAACATTTATTTGCGTGACATAGCTGAGGAATTTGGACTTATTTTTCTTGTTGCATGATTTTATTAAAAATAGGAGACATGGCTTGGAAACCTCTTTAGTTCCCTTATGTATTTAAATAGTTTCCTTCTCTGGTCTACCTTGTTTGACTGACAACATATTAGTAGAAATGGAATTTGAACAGAAAACACCATGACAACGAGAAGTTACTACTATAGCTGGTTCTGAAAACGTTCAAACAATCAAAAATGCGAATTTTTGAAATGTCAGCTCTGGTTGGTGGATATACCGAATCTACACTTCTAGCTAGATATGGGGAAAGAATCAAGGAATAATAGGAACAGGAAGGTCCGTTGGATCAGCTCAAAAATTCAAGATGGCAGCTGTAACATGTGGTTGAAGCTGCTTGTTGTTTTATGGATATTGTTTTTAATGCAGACACAACACACACACACACACACACACACAGAGAGAGAGAGAACTTTAATCGTACCACTACAGCTGCCATCTTGACTTCTTTGACCAGATCCTGTAGACACTTTGAATAGGAAAGATCCTTGGATCACCACTCCTAGATCTCTGGAACCTGCTCCTCTAACCTTATTTTCAGATGGAATAATCAGTTCTTCTCCAAACAAAAAAAAGCTAAACCACATACCTTGATGAAGAACTGAATGCAAGTTTTCTCATCCGGCTGGTAAGAAATACAAAGCATCACAAATCCGATGAGGGCCACCAGACAAACCTGGAGAGAGAAAGATGAATAAATTGAAATTTAAAATTGGAGCAGAGATAGAGGAGGACCTGGCCAGACCCAAACCCTCCATTATCAATTTAGGAGATCAGATAGTTAACAAAATGACAGAATAACCGAATTGGAAGGGACCTTGGAGGTCTTCTAGACCAACCCCCTGCTTGAGCAGGAGACCCTATACAATTCCAAACAAATAGTTGCCCAGTCTTTCCTTAAAAGCCTCCAGTGATGGAGCACCCACAACTTTTGGAGACAAGCCACTGATTAATTGTTCTCACTGTTAGGAAATTTAGTTCTGCCAACCTAGATTAGTTTCCATCCGTTGCTTCTTGTTCTGCCTTCTGGTGGTTTGGGGAATAGGTTGTCCCCCTCTTCTTTGTGGCAGCCCCTCAAATATCAGAACACTGCTATCATGTCACCCCTGGTCCTCCTTTTCACTAGATTAGTTGATGCATATCATTATCACATCTTTACAAGGTCTGCCCAATCATTCATTTAGTGCTTTTGACTGGTGGATCCATCCCAAGGATCCAGAATAGCAATATTGTTATACTATTGGCACTGTTCTAAGTAATGCATCTTTTTGTAATTGATGAGAAGAAATTTTGCCCATTCTTCTTGTGTCCAACTGCATCATTACCGTCACTGATTTCCCTATAGTACAATTTCTACAGTCTCTCCAAACATTAGCATAGTAAAGTATCATACCAAAACATACAGTATACATTTAGAATAGAATAGAATAGAATAGAATAGAATAGAATAGAATAGAATAGAATAGAATAGAATAGAATATATATTGGAAAGCATAGAATAGAATAGAATAGAATAGAATAGAATAGAATAGAATAGAATAGAATAGAATAGAATACTTTATTTGACCAAGTGTGATTAGACACACAAAACTGTGATTAGACACACAAGGAATTTGTCTCCGGTGCAGAATATCTCAGTGTACATGCAAAGCAACAGTGTAATAATAATCATAATAATGATCCCAATAAGAGGGGGTAGTAGAGAAGATAATAAGAAGGATAATGATAATATTACAGCCATACTACATGGGTAAATATATACCAACCTACATAGATATACATAAATATATACATAGAAATATTGACATCTGTTCCCAAAATTGGAATTTGGCCAAGGTAAACTAATGTTTCAAAGGGAATTAAGATTGTTGAAGTTATATAGCAATGTAGTTTACATCCTCGTTATACTATCAACTAGAATCCGTCCACTTATTGCCTTTGGGATCCACTCTGTCTTTACATTATTGTAGAAAATTAGGATATATAATTTGCACAGATTCTATAAAATACCATTTTACATCGTTCTCAAACTTATCACAATATGTTGAATTAAATATGTCTTCACAGAGGCAATTTCAGTTATCACCTGATGGTGAAAATTCCCATTAAAATGCTGTGAAGATGAATATTACATGGAGATTAACATATATTTTAAGAAAGGATGGCAGTGGCTAATTCCCATTAGATATTTCAAACAAATTGTTAAAAGTTATGGCATTTTAAAGCCCCTAGAATATCTCTGGCTAAATTTACAGCAACTTTATGGAGATAATAGGTTTAACCTTGCTGGATTTAATTTTATCATTTAGATTCCTTTGGCATGAGATTTATTACGATTATTTTCCTCTTTGGACCCATTTGGAGTGGAAGTCGGTAATTCCTTCCAAATCTTGGCAAGTTTTGGGGATCAGGTACACTAAATGAGGATTCTTCATTTCCTGCTGTATTCAAGATGCCAGATATTTGCTTACAGGTAGTCCTTGACTTATAACAGTTCGTTTAGTGACGGTTCAAATCTACAACCGCATTGAAAAAAGGGACTTACGGCCATTTTTTCACACTTACAACTATTGAAGCATCCCCGTGGTCATGTGATCAAAATTTGGACGCCTGCCAATTGACTCATATTACAACGGTTATAACCTCCCGGGGTCACATGACCCTCTTTTGCGACCTTCTGACAAGCAAAGTCAATGGGGAAGGCAGATTCACTTAACAACCGTGTGTCTAATTTAGCAACTTGCAGTGATTCACTTAACAACTGTGCCAAGAAAGGTCGTAAAATAGGGCAAACCTCACTTAAGAAATGTTTTGCTTAGGAACAGAAATTCTGGACTCCATTGTTGTCGTAATTCGAGGACTAGCTGTATGTTCTTTCCGAATCAGTTGAGAAATTGATGCTATGATATAATTCAAATATTGAAAATAATAGGAAAGATGATCTCTTGGAACATCTGGATTAAAGAAGGGACTAATACTTTAAAGCAGTTGGCTTTTAACAACTCTGAGAGATTTTTGTCTCAGATTTGACTTATCTTCAGCACATAATAATAATAATAATAATGATGATGATGATGATGATGATGATGAAGTTGGGAGGGACCTTGGAGGTCATCTAGTCCAACCCCCTGCTCAGGCAGGAAACCCTATAGCATTTCAGACAAATGGCTGTCCAGTCTCTTCTTAAAAACTTCCAGTGTTGGAGCATTCACAGCTTCTGGAGGCAGGTTGTTCCACTGGTTAATTGTTCTAACTGTCAGGAAGTTTTTCCTTAGTTCTAGGTTGCTTGTCAGAATTTTTGCAGTTTCAAAGATACCTGCCATTCTAGCTTTTTTGAAAAGACAATTGTCCTGGAACAGAAACCAGCAATCCAATTTCTTAAGGTATGAACATGTGAAATTAAATTTGTATCCCTTACATGTTTGACCTGTGGGAAGCAAAACTGAAAAACCCAATTTTAGAAAATGAGTGGGTTCTGATGTTAAAAATATGTGAAATACACTTCCTATGACTTATACTATCCAACTGATTTGGCATTTTCGGCTTTATAGATCCTGGAATAAAGAGGATAATAACTACATAACTGGAAAGAAAGTTACTCTCCTAATTTTAAGAAACAGATCCATCATATGAGTTTGTTATCTATTTTAGAAAAATGTATGTATCTGTTGCTGCGTTGTTTAGATTTCATGACGGGCTCAACAACTGAATTAATTCTGTATTACTATTCATATTTATTTACATTGATCATATTGATCTCAGTTGGAACTACTTGTTCATTTTAATTCCTGTGAGAAAACTGGGTCTTCTCTTTAGTGGGTAAGCAACACTAGTACATTCACCATTCGCTTTCACTCCTCCGGCATTGTGTCTTAACAACCACTACAGGGACAAAGTCTCTCCTTAGCAACAACTAACAAAATTTCTGGATGATGCATTTACAGTTTGTCATCACTAGTCAACTTCTCTTGCCTAAGAAGTGGAAAAAGTTTCCCAAAACCTTTTATGGCAGCTGAAGTGGATTGTACGTTACACAGGATGCTGAAAAAAGAAATCTAAGGGTACTTGAAAGAGAGAGAGAGAGAGAAAGAGAGAGGGAGGGAGGGAGGGAGGGAGGGAGAGAGAGAGAGAGAGAGAGAGAGAGAGAGAGAGAGAGAGAGAGAGAGAGAGAGAGGAACAGATGGACAGATAGATACTAGATATAGATAGATGATGGATGATAAATAGATGATAGATATAGACAATAGATAGACAGATAGATATAGAGAGTAGACTAGATAGATATAGATAGAAGAGAGACAGACAGACAGAGAGACAGAGACGAGATACTAGATATAGATAGATGATGGATGATAAATAGATAGATATAGATAATAGATAGATAGATAGATAGATAGATAGATAGATAGATAGATAGATAGATAGATAGATAGATAGATAGATAGATAGATAGATAGATATAGAGAGTAGACTAGATAGATATAGATAGATGAGAGAGAGAGAGAGAGAGAGAGAGAGAGAGAGAGAGAGAGAGAGAGAGAGAGACGGACAAACAGATGGAAAGATACTAGATATAGATAGATGATGGATGATAAATGGATAGATATAGATAATAGATAGATAGATAGATAGATAGATAGATAGATAGATAGATAGATAGATAGATTGAGTAGACTAGATAGATATAGAAGAGAGAGAGAGATAGAGAGAGACGGACAAACAGATGGATAGATACTAGATATAGATAGATGATGGATGATAAATGGATAGATATAGATAATAGATAGATATAGAGAGTAGACTAGATATATAGAGATAGATGAGAGATAGATAGATAGATATAGATAGATAGATAGATATAGAGAGTAGACTAGATATATAGAGATAGATGAGAGAGAGAGAGACAGACAAACAGATGGACAGACAGACAGATACTAGATATAGATAGATGATGAATAATAGATGGTAGATATAGATAATGGATAGATAGATATAGAGAGTAGACTAGATAGATGACACAGAGAGAGAGAGAGAGAGAGAGAGAGAGAGAGAGAGAGAGAGAGAGAGAGAGAGAGAGAGAGAGAGAGAGAGAGAGAGAGAGAGAGAGAGAGAGAGAGAGAGAGAGAGAGAGAGAGAGAGAGAGAGAGAGAGAGAGAGGGATAGACAGATACTAGATATAGATAGATGATGGATGATAAATAGATATAGATAATAGAAAGATATTGAGAGTAGACTAGATAGATATAGATAGATGAGAGAGAGAGAGAGAGAGAGAGAGAAACGAACAGATGGACAGACAGACAGATACTAGATATAGATAGATGATGGATGATAAATAGATATAGATAATAGATAGAGAGAGTAGACTAGATAGATATAGACAGATGAGAGAGAGAGAGAGAGAGAGAGAGAGAGAGAGAGAGAGAGAGAGAGAGAGAGAGAGAGAGAGACTGACGAACAGATGGACAGAGACAGACAAATACTAGATATAGATAGATGGTGGATGATAAATAGATGACAGATATAGATAATAGATAGATATAGAGAGTAGACTAGATAGATATAGACAGATGACAGAGAGAGAGAGAGAGAGAGAGACAGACGAACAGATGGACAGACAGATACTAGATATAGATAGATGGTGGATGATAGATAGATGATATAGATAAT